TTTATAATGATGTGTACCCTGTTTAAGAATAAGTTGGTGTTATGTACCTTTAAATGTTATTGTTATTCTTTATTAAGAGAAGTTATACGATAACGACGTTCTTAGTAATAAATGTTTTTTTTGAACATTAAATTTGACATAAATACAGAAAGAAATTAATGATAATTGGTTGTAACATTTGCAATTTATAATATATAATGATTGACAAATTAATGATTACACCAAGTATATGACATTGAGCTATAATAATAATCTAACGTTGGTATTTCCTCTGAAGCTGTTACATAATTAATTAGAAAGTTACCATATCAATTGAAAAATTGAATATTTTTAATTGATATGGTAACTATATATAATTATATGTATGTTGTTAAAATTTCGATAAATATTGTTATGGTTACTTGTCCATTAAAATTTACACATTACTATGGTAGAATATGTAGAACTAAATTATACTTAAACACCATTGCACAACCATATTGTTGCAAAACAAATATTATTATTATCATTATTAAGTAGTTATTTACCGATTAATTATTGCGGTATAATACATAATTTCGAATTTTTCTATTAATAGTACTAATTCTAAAAAAAATCCAATTTTTTTAATGAATGATTTAAAAATTTTCTTTCCCCAGTTCTGTGTATAACATTATATAAGTAATAATATAATTTGAAATAGACATCGACACTATTATATAATTAAACTTACTTTCGGTGCTTTCGAGATGTCTTGTACCTGCTATAGAACTTGGCTAGTCGCTCGTTGACTTCTTTCTGCTGCTCTGTCACTCGAAAATGTTCTTAGCTCCCCGATGTGGTTGGGCCTGGACTTCCTCGTACGCTTCTTTTTTCTTAAGTTCTTTATTCTTCCCTTGATGGAATTTTGATTAAGAAGTTTTCTGTTCTTGGAATCTTCTTTCTTGGAACTTGTCAATATTGATTATGCTGTTAAAATAATGTTACTGGAGCTTCTTATATAATTTGTTTTTCAGGTATTTTCTTCATTTTTTTCTATAGCATTTTTTCTTTAAGTGTATTATAGGCTTCGATTCCTCAAAAAAAAAATTGTAGTCTCTTCTTATATTCGTAATTAAAAATTTAAGTGTCACATCCGGTATCACGTTATTTTTGTTATTATATATTTATTTGATAAATTACTTCAATTTCTTATGCAGGTCCCGGCGGTGCGCTTGCATTGTAGCAGCGCACATCCTGGCAAGGTCGCCATGTAATGTGGGGAGATTCGGGGAATAAATAATAATACGTCTAGTGGTCTCGACTGTAGATTTATTACTGTCTCTCTCCTATTCCATCCTGCATATATATTATAACCATACACTACAATTAGTAGTATAGTTGTAGCACGAATAGGTCGGCTCGACCGGGGAAGGACCACGCTTTCACAGAATACCAGCGTCAAATAGTAGCATAATGCTGCTGTGTTTCGTATAGTGACTGTAGAGAACCGGAGACCCTTTTTACTGGAAACGAGACATTTCATCTAAGTCGTCACGGATGACAACGCATCTGCATTTTGATTCGTAATCGACGATAAATGTAGATGTATATGGGCCATAGCAACCACTTACCATCAGGTGGACTGTGTGCTCTTTTGTCATCCTATTATTAAAAAAAAAACATTCAAGAAAAACAGCACACGTATTGCGTAAATGTGTTTATTGTAAAGGGCGCGCGCGTGTGTGTGTGCGTGCGTGCGTGCGTGCGTACGTGCGTGCTTGCGTGCGTTCGTGCGTGCGTGCGTGCATGCGTGCGTTCGTGCGTGTTTGAGTGCGTGCGTGCGTGCGTGTGTGCGTGCGTGCGTGCGTGTGTGAGTGCGTGCGTGCTTGCTTGCGTGTGTGTGTCTGATCCACAAGTGTGATGAAATTTGAGCTTAAATCACGCTAAAAAGCGAAGCTTCCCGATAAATCTGCAATAAATAGAATAATCTCCATGCTAACACAAAGAGCACTGGATACTCCAAGAGCTGACTACCTTGCCCGGTGAGAGATCTCCTCTTTTTCTTACATGGTCCATTAATTGAGACACAACATACAAATTATTGTTTTTATATATACTGTGAGTTTATTTGTCACATAAATATAATTCAAAAATATACATTTATTTAGTGCTCAATACTAAATACTCAATTATTACAATAAAATGTTATACAAAGTTTCATTCTAATTCACATATAAATTGGCAAGTAGCTGCATGATTAGGTGCTAACTTAATTTTTTATAGAAAATACTTTTGCATAAGTAACATATTATGTGGTCGTCATTGTCATTATCATCATTACGGTCCTTCACCAAGGAATGCCACAAAACACGGTCTTGTGCCACCTACATCCATCTACATCATCTACCTACCTACATATCGTATTCGTACCTACTTATATAAAGATATGCCATAATCGATACATTTCCGAGTGGTTTTGTCTGGGAATTTATGGCGCAAACGAGATGGTTATACCGCGGTCCACCACAGAAGTTACGAGATCCCTGACATTTCTCATAGTCACCTCTTACGACACCTATGAGATCAATTTATAATAAAAAACTTGATAAAACAATGCAAAGGCCTGTTTAAATCGAAACAACTATTACTGTTTCGGGTGCTGAAGCTTTTTAAAAACTACGATTATATCTCGATGACATTTATTAACCATAACTCGGTACAATACTGATTTCCTTAACTAGGTGATTACATTACTGCGATGAAAACTATAATGAATCTTATGACTGAAAGTATAACGCCTTGGTTTGACCAGCAATAACAATTATACAGTGGAGTCAGCGTCTTTTGTAACGTTACACTTCATAACGTGTTTTCAATAATCCAATATCAAAAGCTTAATCAGCACAACTCGTGGTCAACATGCTATTATGAAATTATGGCTACTTGCAATCGCAATGTTTACGAGTAATCTAATATCAAACGATTAGTTAGGACAATTTAGGATCAACAGGTATGAGGCTATTTCCAGACTGCATAACTAGGTATAAAAAAATTTAATAATTTATGCAAAATTTAACAACAAAAAATATGGGCTAATAAAGACGAAACATTGGTAAGATTTATTACTTTCTTGATAAGGCAAGGATATTTAAGAAATTTCCAAAAATTTATTCACCAAAAGCTTCAGTATTAATTTCACGCTCAGTGGGTAAAGAGATTCGCGATGACTTCGGAGATTAGAAAAATGTATAACTATAAATGCATAGAAAAATCTCTATAAGACCTGTGTTTCTTTAAAGAATGAAGGTGACAAACCGCACATCCGGCATGGAGCATGGTCTGCTGTGTGTTCTCCACTTCATCAAAAGTCGAGTTGGACGCAAAAAGAGAGTCGACTTTCTCCTTTGTGGCATGAGCAAGAGTCATCCTCTCTATGCAGAGATGGACGAGAAAGCTGATAGAAGATCGCTTGGACAGCTTTGGCGAGAAGGTATGTGAACTAGCTTCTCGCCAATTCTGTCGATGTGATCAGACCTTGCCTTGGCAATGATACTTTTGAAGGACCTGGGGGCGGAATTAAACTTCTTTTTGAGACCACTGTTGTTTACATTTCGAGACGTCGCGTCGATGCGTCAGTCCAGCCCGGTAGCATTCCAGCTTTTAGCGTAATGCTATTTTGCAGGAGCGACCAAAATATAATTGGGATATGTCTCTGATGGGCACCACAGAAGATGGAATAAAATGTCTCAAACCCTGACTTACCACATCAGCTTCAGAATCAGCAATAAATTTAGGATCATTCGGCGAGAAAAAACCTTGCCCCTAAGGGCAGTATGTAAGAAAGACCACATCCTATCCCAATCGGCCGTACTATAATGTCAAACATAACGGTAGCCTGCAAAGTGATACCACGAAGAAAGTGTGAGTGGCACAACACTCCGGAAAAGACAATGTGGTTCGAGGAGCCAAAAGGGGGAGGGACGTCGACGGCAACCCGATATCCGTCCGGATGAGAGGTCAGGAAATGGTCTAACAGGAAAGATGCATGATCCTACACATATGGATCTCGCGTCGGCGAAGTAACCAGCTGTGTTCATAATCGGTTAAACATGAACCAAGCCATTCGGCGTGGTGGGCGGTACTATATATATATATACATATATATATATATATATATATATATATATATATATATATATATATATATATATATATATATATATATATATATATATATATATATAGTTCTTCAAATAAATATTATTATTATAATCTTGTAGAAATAAATGAATAGAAATACTTCAGAAATTGCTTCATAGGGGGGCATATTTGCTATAACTGCACACTTGTCAGGCGGCGTTACAAAAATGTTTTAATCCATCTCTTGTTTTATTTTCCTCTAACCTCTGTTACGTTACCTTTGGATTTATATGGGATGAGGGATTCTCTTATGACACTACTACGTTATTTTATGAAAAACGTTTACACAGCCGTTTATTACAAATAAATAAAAAATAAAAAAGGTAATATTTCTGATTCAACATCAGAACTTTATTTTAGCTTTAGTTGAAAGTTAAAATAAAGTTTAAATTTATAATATGTTAATTTTATAATACGGGAAGGATTTAATTATTGTCGAACAGCGGAACTAGCGTACTTTTTTCGAACCTTCCTGGTGAATAGCAGCAGATGTCGTAAAAATTTTTTCACGTGGTAGGGAGATGCTGCAGTTCTATTATGGTTAGAGCACGAATGTGTCGGCTCAACTGGGCTAGCACCACGCCATCACAGAATGCCAGCGTAAAATTGAGGCTAAATGCTGCTGTGTTTCGTATGGTGAATGTAGCGAATCGGAGATACTTTGTACTAGAAACGAGGCATCTCGTCTTAATGCTCAAATGTGTTAGGCATCTGTATTTTGATTCTTAATCGAGGATAGATATAATATATCTATGATATGTGTCTACAGTCTTCATCACTTATAGATTCTGCTGAGATTTTGTTGTAAAAATATGGGGGTTCGGTAATTTAGTTTTATTTTATCGCGCCCAATAGTCAATATAATCATAGTAGTAAATACCTTTCTTGCAAATAAGATTGAAAAGATCTGTGTAAAATTATCAAAAATTTTAAAAATCATCTGGTTACATCGTTTTAACTAAATAATCCAGACTTGAACTTAAAAATTTAAAAGATTTAATAAATTTCATTGGAGCTACGTTTTTTGATCAATTTGAATACATTTTGTAAAAGATATAAACTTTTCCTTATTTTTTTTGGGTTAATACTAATTCGCCCGCATACTGCTGAAAGCTCTTTTTATGAATAAATGGCAGCCATATCCCGAAAGATTATGAAAAAATATTGGTACGAACGGACAGGCCTTACCATTCAAATTACATTTATTGTGCCGGACCCCTATACTAAATAATAACTCATGTCTACAAATATACAACTTAGTCGCATTTTTAAAGGAATGTTGTTCAATCTCTGTTTAAAGCATCATGGATCTATAAACTGTCAGTATGTTATAAATATGAATGTTTTCTTAATAAAATTTCGAAGTCACCATAAATAACTATTGGTGTCCTTTGAGTTCTTTCAAAATTACAAAACGAATGTTAAGTATAATCCTCAGGAAAACTGTTTGAACTCTTGCACAGTTGTGATTAATTAATTTTCTTTTTTATCAAAGTACGAGGAGAAACACTCATCACACAAATGTATTTTAGATTTATGTTTAGTAAGTTGGTTGTCAACAAGTTTCCCAAATTTGTTTTATTACGAGGGCGGCACTGAAAATTTCGGGAATCAAGGAAGTGACACAACATTACTATTTAAAAATGTATTTATTTATTTTCGAAGTATTTTCCGCGAAATTTGACACATTTTTCCATACGATGGAACCAATCGTTGAAGCAACCATTCCATTCGGAAGTTGGGGTCTCCAAAATGGCCGTTCTGTAGGCGTCCACAGCTTCTTCAGGTGATGAAAATCTCTGTCTACGCAATTTATTCTTTATTTTAGGGAAAGTATAAAGATCATTATGGCTTAGGTCGGGGCTGTACGACGTATGGTCTAATAATTCTATGTTTTCTTGCTCTAAAAACTCTTTTGTTCTGTGTGCGGTGTGAGAACTCGCAATGTCGTGATGGAGGATGATGCGGTGGTTGCAGTTCTCTTTACGGAGATCAAAAACGACCTGTGGCAAACAAATGCTAGCATACCATTCTGCATTAACCGTTCTTTGTCCCTCAAGAGGAATAGTCGTAATATGACCGGTTTTGGAGACAAACGTGGCCACCATTTTTTCTGCAACACTCCGTGAACGAACAATTTTTGTTGGCTTTAACTCATTTTCGAACACCCAAACTCGTGACTGGTTTTTTGTTTCGGGTTTGTACGCATATATCCAGGATTCCTCACCTAATACGATGTTGCATACAGCATTTGAGGATCCTGCGTGGAATCTTTCGAGAGTTCTGGTGCACCAAGTAACGTGAGCCGCTTTTTGCTCTTCACAAAGCGTATGCGGTATCCATCGGGAAAACAACTTTTTTTACACCTAATTGTTCATGCAAGATTATTCGTATTTGACTCATGCCAATGTTTTAAGTTGTCTGAATTTCGCGGTATGTCACATGTCGATCTTCCTCAACCCGCTTACGCACAACATCAACGTTTTCTTGGGTGACTGCAGTTTTTGGACGACCTTGACGGGGATCATTACTGAGCATGACACGTCCACGTTAAAATTCAGCAAACCAGCGATAAATTGTGGTTTTGGATGTGGCTTCATTGCCAAATGCAGAAATCATCCGGTCAACTTACTGTTTTTGTGTTAAACCACTTCGAAAGTTATAATAAATCATCGCTCTTGAATTTTATCGAGTCAATTCCATTTTCTCAACGACTAAACAAGTTTGACAAAACCTTGTGTCAAGACCGAGAATCTTTTTTTTAAATAAATAAATGGTATTCGATTTTTAAAACCAAGGAGTTTTCAATTAAAAACATTTTAATATGACAGGAACAGTGGAAATATTCCATTCCCGATACTTTTAGTGCAGCCTGTGTAAACAAAAATGAGCTTTTCCATTTTAAAGATGTATAATAAATTGACATGATCAAATTTACGACTGCAAGATTAGTATAATGGTCAATCTTCAATCTACCATGAAATTCTATTACGATTGCTTTAATAATAATAATTATTCGAAAATTATTTTTTGTTAATATAAAATATAATATGAGGGAGATTTTTCATAAATCTACCTGAATATATTTTTTATAAAATATAATAATTCAGGCAGATTTATGTATGTAAACTGTCACATTATACGTGGTATATTGTACGTGGTAGCGCCACGCACAAAATTCATAACGTTTTCCAATTACAGTACACCAAATGAAAAACTAAATATTTCATATAATAATGAATATTTGAAAGAGGTTTCAGAAATACAATTTTTAGGTGTACATGTTGATAACCATTGCAACTGGAAGTCGCATGTGAAAAATGTCTGCACCAAATTAAATTAATTTGTGCATGCACTGCGCAGACTACAGTGCGTCGCTGGGAAAGGAGTTGAGCTTACTGCATACTACGGATACATCGAATCTGTGTTGAGGTATGGTCTGTTGGTATGGGGAAACTCGACTGATATAAACAAGGCACTTATCAGTAAAAAAAATTTTACGAGCTTTATGCAATGTCGGGCCCCTTGAATCATGTAGATCTTTATTTAAAAATAACAATTTGCTAACGCTGACTGTACTGTATATATTAGAGGTGTGTATATTTATCAAAAAAAGAAATCAGTGTTTATTTCATAGCGCTCGCGACAATTCTATTATAGGTAAAAGGGACCCAACTAGATTGTTAATGCCTGCCTGCAGGACAGCTTTGTTTCATAAAAATTATTACGTAATGTGTATAAAAGTTTTTAATAAAATACCTAAAGCGATTAGAGAGTTACCAATAATGAGAATGAAAACTCACCTAAAATGGCTCATCCAGAAATCTTTTTACTTAATTAAAGACTTCTTTGCAGATAAGTGGACGATACATTTTAGAATTTGACACAATGTTTAAATTATGTCTTGTCTTGTTATATAATTATAAATTAAAATGAAAAGATAAATATACATAAATATAATTAAAATACAATAAATACAAAAATACATAATTAAATAAAAGCCCAACCAGATGGAAGCCCTCGGCAGGGGGAGACCAAATATTATTATTATTATTGGGGTATCTATATAGTTTTCTCATCTGGTTGGGTTCTACAAATATATAATTATAAATTAAAATGAAAAGATAAATATACATAAATATCAATAAAATAAAATAAATACAAAAACTAGAAAAATAAATAAGATCCAACCAGATGGGAGCCCTCGGCAGGGGAGACCAAACGGCCGAGGGTTAGGAGGAAAGGGAAAGAAACCGGCGGACGATGCGGGCGGTATCGAGGAGCACCGCCTTCTGCATTTGAGCCCGGAGCGGTCCGTCACGGAGTCCCAGTCGCCTCAGATGACCCGAGAGGCTGACTGGGATTAGCCCATTCGCAGAGAGGACTACAGGAATAATTTCGGCCGGCATACCACCCCACATGTCGGTCACCTCGTGAGCCAGGTCCAGATATTTTGTTCGTTTATCTGTTTCGGCTTTCACGAGGTTCTCGTCATACGGAATGGTAATGTCGACCAAAATCCTTGACTGTGCCCGGTCCAGCAGCACAATATCAGGCTTATTCGCAAGAATAGTCCTGTCCGTGAAGATGGCCCGGTCCCAGTAGAGCCCGGCGCGGTCATTTTCGAGCACGGCTTCCGGCAAGTACTTGTAATACGGCAATTTCTGAGAAATAGAATTAGAGTTAGAAAGCGCCGAACAACCGGAGATGACATGCCTAAGTGACTCACTGGGATGGCGACAAGCTCGACAGACGTCGACGGTGCCATCCTTTAGGATGTATCTCCGATAGTTGTTGGTCTTAATAACCTGATCCTGTATTGCACAGACAAAACCCTCGGTTTCCTCGAAGAGGTCACCGAAACGTAGCCAGTTGAGGGAGGTGACTGTATGTACGAAGGACTCATGTAGAGCCCTATAGTACCTCCCGTGGAGCTCCTTCTCCTTCCATACGGTCTCCCGGTCGGAAATGCTTTGTACTGCCGGGTCCTGCCATTGCTCGTTGGCTAAGGATAGAGGGGTAATCCCTTTATCATTAGAAATGACGTCATTATAGAATGGATCATTCGATCTCGCCAGGAAGTAATCACGGTGGCTGCACACTTCGCGATTATGCATGGTGAGCGCGCTCAAGAAGCCACGACCACCATGCTTTAGCGGCAAGTACAGCCTCATTACCGACGATCTCGGATGATGCATCCTATGGGACATCACGGTAGTGCGAACTTTTCTATCCAGGGCGTTAAGTTCAGTCTGAGTCCACCTGAGTATGCCAAAGGTATACATGAGGACAGGCATAACCCAGCCGTTATATGCGTGTGTCTTATTCACATCGGACAAAAGGCTGTTAAGCACTTTGGTCAAGCGTGCATAAAACATGTCGCAAACTGACTGTTTCATACCAGTCTCATCGATACCGACGTCCTGTGACATACCCAGGTATCGGTATGTTTCAGTTTCGGAAAGGGGTTCTTAAGTTAACGGGCATAGATAAGTCTATACCCTCAGAGTTAGCAACCCTTCCCCTTTCAACATGGAGGACCGCACACTTATCCGTCCCCAGCTCCATTCCTATAGAATTGCTAAATTCACAAGTGATTTTTAGCAATTCCAGAAGATGGGAGCGACTGGAGGAGAATAATTTGAGGTCATCCATATAGAAAAGGTGGGTCACTTTTGTACCTCCTTTCCGAAGCTGAAATACCCTCCCGGAGCCCTCCATTAAAGTACTGAGAGGGTTCAAAGAGAGGCAGAACCAGATTGGACTCAGACAGTCGCCCTGGAATATACCCCTTCTTATCCTTATGCGACTTTCCGCAGCCGTCATCCGTTCACCTAGATAACAGAGGATCGTACTCCACTGCCCCATACATTACCCGAGGAAGTCTCGAACTGTACAGTCAAACTTGTACAGCTCGAGGACCCTCTTCAGCCATGTATAGGGCACCGATTCAAATGCCTTTCTGTAGTCTACCCAGGCGGCGGAGAAGTTCCGACGGTTGCGTTTCACCACTTTGCCAATGACCGCGTCAATGAGGAGTGGTTCCTTGGTTCCACGACCGCCGCTCCGATATCCATTTTGAGCGCGCGACATCACCTGATTTGAGTTCAGGTGACGAGTAATTCTCGCACTCAAAATGGATGTTAGTGTCTTGTATGTGGTCGGTAGACACGTAATGGGGCGGTATTTGCTCGTGTCTGTGGTATCCTGGTCTTTAGGAACCAAATGAGTGATCCCAGTAGTGAAGAGGCTTGTGAGCGACTTCTGGTTGAGAGCCTCTTGAAACTGTCGGGCAAGTACAACGTGACACACCATGAACCCCTTCAGCCAGTAATGATGCAGCCCGTCAAGATCCGGACTTTTCCAGTTCGGGGCCCTACGGACCGCCTCAGCTACGTCATCCGGCGTTATGATGACGGGGTCCATGGGTGTTATACCCGCACACTGACTCGCCACAACTTCCGTCCAAGGGCCCCCACTGTAGTTTACGGGCTCTGACCACAGGCGGCGCCAGAATGCGACCGTGTCGGCCTGATTTGGTGCGGGGCCCGTTCCACTTATCATAGGTCGCTCCAATGATTTATAACGCATCTTCTGATCGCTCTGGAAGAGACGATTCTGGTTGAACCGTGTCGACCTCTCGGTATATCGCCGAATCCGCTTTCCCCAAGCAGCGATTCTCTGCTTCAGGTCGTCTATGCGCTCCGTCAATTTTTGCAATATATCCGGCTGGGACAAACTAACATTTGTCCCAGCAAACGCCATCCTGACGGTGCGCAGAATCCTTGGCCTGGTATTGCCTGACCTGAAGCATATCTGTCTGCCGATGAGGGCCCTAGCCTTTGCGATACGTTCTTCAATTCTTATTCTCCGGGCTGGGATAGCACTACTTTGTCCAGTAGCGCGTCCAGCCATGGAGAGTTTGGCGCCTATAATTACCAAACTGCCAGTGCGGCGCCAAAAAGAATTGAGTCCGGCTCGCAAAGATCCCGGCTGGCTTCCAAATAGGTCACCAGCATTGGGTTCAAAGCACTCACGACAGCCCGATTCCACTTGCTTAGAGCTATGCGGGGAAGTCGCGGTCGATTTTCGAGAGGCGTACTGCGCGTTTCCACAATCGCTTCTTCCAAAGTACTCCTCATTTGCTCTAGTTTCAGTTCCTGGGCGATTGTTCCATCATCGTTTGAATCAACTACAACTGGGGTATTCACGGCGGCATCCAAGTTTGCCGTTTGCTCTGCAAGTTGTGGCGCCGCATCCTCATCACCACCACCATCATCATTACAGACCATCACAAGTCCACTGCTAAACGTAGGCCACACCCAAGTAATGCCACAAAGCACGGTCCTGAGCCACCTGCATCCATCGACTTCCTGCATGTCTTACCAGGTCGTCACTCCATCTAGTGGGAGGTCGCCCTACACAACGCCTACCGGTACGAGGCTGACACTCGAGAACCTTTCTTCCCCATCGGTTATCGGTTATTCGAGCTATATGGCCGGCCCATTGCCACTTCAGCTCACTAATCCGTTGGGCTATGTCGGTCACTCTGGTTTCACTGAGAATATCCTCATTTCTGAGTCTATCACGCAGAGAATTTTCGAGCATAGCCCTTTCCATAGCTCGCTGAGCGACCTTGAGCGTTCTTATACGGCCAGCAGTGAAGGACCACGTCTCTGATCCGTAAGTCATCACTGGCAACACGCACTGGTTATACACTTTAGTTTTCAGAGATTGAGGTATACCTGACGAGAAGATGTGTCGTAATTTCCCGAACGCTGCCCAGCCGAGTTGAATCCGTCGATTGACCTCTCGGTCGAAGTTGGACTTACCTAGTCGGACTATTTGTCCCAGGTAAACGCACTCGTCAACAACTTCGAGCATAGTGCTCCCCACAACTACCGGCATAGGTGAGACATGGACATTAAACATGATCTTTGTTTTGTCCATGTTCATCTTAAGACCTATCCGTTGGGAGACACCATTGAAGTCATTGAGCATAGTGCTAAGGTCCTCCAGCGATTCTGCCATAAGGACTATATCGTCGGCAAATCGAAGGTAAGTGATGTACTCGCCATTGATGTTAATACCGTATCCTTTCCAGTCCAGTAGCTTGAAAACGTCTTCCAATGCAGCGGTGAAGAGTATCGGGGATATAACGTCACCCTGTCTTACACCTCTCTGCAGTTGGATAGGTTTCGTGCTCTAATTCTGAACTCGGACAGCCATCGTAGCCCTTCTGTACAAACACTTCAGTACTTCGATGTACCGACAGTCAACTTGGCACCGCTGAGGGGACTGTAGCACTGCCCAAATTTAGACGCAATCAAAGGCTTTCTTATAGTCCACATACGCCAGGCAAAGTGGCAGAATGTACTCTTCGGTCTTCTGTACAATCTGCCGCAGGGTATGTATGTGGTCTATGGTACTGAAGCCTTTTCGGAAACCGGCTTGTTCGGGAGGCTGGAAGTCGTCGAGTCTGCGTGCGAGACGATTCGTAATGACTCTCGAAAACAGCACGTAGACGCGGCTCAGAAGGGAAATCAGTCTGTAGTTCTTCAAGAGAGCGTTGTCGGCTTTCTTAAAGAACAAGACCACCGCACTTCTGCTCCAGGCCTCCGGAGTAGTACCACCATGGAGGACGGAATTGAAGAGCTTCTGAAGGACTTCAAGTACCGGTGTTCCACCCGCTTTCAGAAGCTCCGCTGTAGTTCCATCCTCGCCTGGGGCCCTGCCGTTTTTAAGGTGCTGGAGAGCCATTCTAATCTCGCTTAGACTGACGTCCGGGATATCATCGGAATAGTGTCGGGTAAGACTTGCTTTTGGATCGTTACTCACTTTTGCGTGTGACTCCAACGATGATGTGTACAGCTGCTTCACTCTCCTCTCAATCTCACTCAAAATCTCAGGTGTCTCGGAAACGATGCTGCCACACTCGGTCTTCAGCTTTGACAGTTGGCTCTTTCTGGCAGACAGATCTCTGGCAAAGACTTTGGTGCCCTGGTTCCGCTCGATCGCTTCTTTAATACGAGCAGTATTAAAGTTTCGTAAGTCTCGCCGCATGCATTTGGAGATCTGTCTGTTCAGTTGCCTGTATGCTGTCAAATCTGTTGACGATTGCAGTCTCATCTCCCGTCTAACATCCATGAGATTAAGAGTGTGATCGGAGAGTTTTTGTAATCTTCTGCGGCGGGTCTTGCAGAACTTAGTTTCGACCGCATGGACAGTTTCCACGAGCTTGTCATTCATATCGTCCCCTGCATTGCAATCTTGTAGGCACTGAAAGCGGTTACGTAACTCGAGCTGAAAGTTTTCGGGATTCTGTATTAGAGCACGAGGGGGGACAGAGCGTTGACTTCATTAGACGAGACCTCTCCAACTTAACGTTTAGGTTCAGTGTGCCTCTAACTATTCGGTGATCGCTGCCGGTTTTCACCCTTGCGATCACTGAGAAATCACTGAACAGTTGGCGTCTGGTCGTTATAATGACGTGAATCTTATTTTTTGTCGAACCGTCGGGGCTCGACCAGGTCCACTTCCTGTGGGGCCGCTTCTGGAAGAAAGAGTTCATCATAAAGAGTCCCTCTTTCTCCATAAAGTCAGCCAGCTGCTGACCCCTACGGTTCCGTTGCCTTACTCCAAATTTCCCTAACTTCAGTTCACCACCTTCTCTTGTGCCTAGTTTTGCGTTGAAGTCTCCCATCAACACCGTGTAGTGGGTTTTGGAGGAATGCATGGCTCTAGAAATATCCTCATACATTTCCTCTTCCTCCTCATCGGGATGTACCGAGGTTGGTGCGTAGACCTGTATGACCTTCAGCGAATACCGTTTGGTGATTCTAAGTATCAGGTACTCGACCCTCATCGACACACTCCCAATCTGTACAACGTTGTTTACGAAAGACTTGTGGACGATAAATCCGACACCTCCTTGAGACAGATTGTCACTTTCCCGGTGATAGAACAAATTGCCGGACTCGAGGATTACCGTGTCCTCGCCCTCTCTTCGGACCTCAGATAATCCAATAATATGCTAGCGCAACTTATCTACCTCTTCTTCCAGCTCCAGTATCTTCTCGTCAGTCCTCAGGATGCGTGCGTTATACGTTGCCAGGTTGAGCCGTCGTAGGTGGCAACCGAACCTCCACCGGAGATTCTTAGCACCCCCTACCCCGCCGTTACCATGGTCGCCACCGTAGCCAGGAATAGCGGGGCCGCCGGGGACTGGGGGCCGTTTATTTGCGTCGTTGCTCATGGGGGGATATTTGCCATAGTTGCCACGCTTGGCGAGCGGATTGGCAACCGCCGTTTTTTATTATGTTATTGTTGTTATTAGGAAGATGCTGCTGCCCATGTCCTTTCTCTGTCCCTCTTTCGCCTCTTACGACACCCACGGGAAGATATGGGGTAGTGGATATTCTCAACCGCCACTACACGGCTATCCTCAGCCGTAGCATTTTCACCTGATGAAGGAACAGCCTCACGCCGTAGACGTTCGATTTCGGCAACATCAAATATATTTGAGCGCAAGATATACCGAACTCGGTCTGCCAGGTTTTGCTCAGTGACGGTTATAGATGGCTCCAGCTCAGCAAAAAGATGATGCGTCCTAGCCCGATATGCCAAACCCCCGACTTCTCCCCCTTTAGCCCTATTATACGCCAGCAGTGCGTTGGTAATCATTTTGATTGTCCATCGCATGCGGCGTACTCCACCAGTGGCGGGTGCCGATTGCTGGGCCCGCGAAGACCCTGCCGACACCAAGCCAGATAGTGGAGATGATGTATGCGAGGGACTGATGGGTGGTCGTGCAGCACCTCTCGCTCGGCTGGCGGTTCGCATGCTTTCGCGTCCAGCGCCAGCTCCGGACGCGCCCTGGCAACCTCCAGGCAGCGGCCCTCGGCGCGTTCCTCTGTATTCCATCATCCATATTAGCGGGCGTCATTTAACAGGAGACCCGGCACCGTTTTATGGTAAGGCACAAGCGGGCCTTTGCACCTTAAATTTTTGCCGAGGCACGGCGCTCACACCTTTTGGCAAGGTGCTGACTGACTGCGCTGACGTAGCAGTTTTGTCACATAACCGTCACGTCAGTGGATAATGGGGTCGTCACTTCCCTACGCCGATAGTAATTATTATTATTATATAACCATTTGCGATGTAATTATTATGAAATCATTAATATCTATGTGTATATGTAAATGTATATCTCACTTAAAACTTTAACGTTATTAACATAAATGCTCAAAGTATTCCTGCTCATTACCCCGACATGTTGTCAAGTGTTAATAGCAAAAACACACGCTATCCTTCATTCGGAGTCGTGGTTAAAAACATTTCTTCCATCAACTTCCTACTCGCTTCCAGGTATTCATTTGATTCGTAACGACCGTACCGATCGGGGCGGTGGTGGTGTTGCTATTTATCTGCGATCTCATATACCATTTTCAGTAATTCAAGTTTCAAATGGTTCGCAGACTGGAAGCGAAGCTGAATTTCTCTTTATCGAAGTTCTTCTTGGTCATACAAAATTACTTCTCGGAGTTTTTTACAGTCCGAGTCACCACGTTAGAAAATATGCTTGACAATCTTACACCTATCTATTGTCACAGTATTATTATGGGTGACCTGTCTTTTAAAAAACAACGCTAGATCAATAAAACTTAAATCTATTATTGAAGCAGCAAATTTAAAACTTCTTCCTACTTCTGCCACACACTTTGTCCCGAACTGTGCTCCTTCTCTTCTGGACATAATGTTTGTGTCTTTACCTGACCATGTTCTTAAATTTGGGCAACATGCTGCTTATTCTTTTTCCTATCACGACCTTTTATACGTGTCATACAAAATCCGTCCCCCTAAAGCTAAGTCAAGGATACTACTTCAGCGTAACTTTAGTGACTTGGATTTGGATCAGCTTTTAATGACGCTGTAAAGATTGATTGGAGTGTAGTCGTCAATGCGTCTACTGTTGATGAACAGCTTGCTTTGTTCAACTCCCTGTTAATTTAGCTTTATGACTTTCATGCTCCTGTTCGTCCAGTGCGTGTAAAGCATCCTCCCTCTCCCTGGCTGGCCGATGATATAAAAAAATCATCCACATAAAAAATTGTGCCAAAGCTAAATGCAAGTCACTTCCTAGCGATTTGAATAGAGAGAAGTATAGATTAGTACGGAATCGTTGCAAAAATCTGTGTAGAAAAGCACAACGACGCCATATCCATGAATTAGTACAAGATCCTGACCCTGCTAGGGTCTGGAAATTTCTTAAGTCCTTAGTAGTTGGGAAATTACGACAAAATCTCACACACCATAACTTTGATCTCAATCAACTTAATTTGCATTTCTCATCTTCGTCTTGCATTAACGATAAAGCAAAACATAATACTTTGGACTCTCTTTCAAAAGCTCCCACTCCGGAGACCTCTGCTTTTAATTTTAGCCAATTTAACAGTTGTGATGTTAAGAGAGCCATAATGTCCATCCATTCAAATTTGATTAGTAGTGACTGCATTAGTCGGAAAATGGTCATCCCTCTCATTGATCTCCTTTTACCTATAATCACGTTTATCCTGAATAATTCACTGAATTCTGCTTTTTTTCCCTTCAGCTTGGAAAGACGCATTTGTAGTTCCTCTTCCAAAAAAGTCATATCCCTCTAGTTTTTCTGATTATAGAGCTATCTCTATTTTGCCTTTCTTTTCCAAAGTTCTAGAACGTCTTGTGCACAATCAATTAAGCACCTATCTTTTAAAACACAATCTTTTAAATCCCTTGCAATCCGGTTTCCGTCCTGGTCATAGTACTAATACTGCACTTTTACAAATCACTGATGATATTCGGTATGGTATGGAGAAACAAAAGCTTACCATTCTCACGTTGCGTGATTTTATTAACGCATTTAATACTGTAGATTTTGATATCTTGTTAAGCATCCTACGCTCTCTCAAAATATCTCCAACTGTAGTTGACTGGTTTCGAAGTTACTTGTTTGGTCACCGACAGCGAATTCGGGTGCAAGAGGTTTTTTCCACCTGGACTACTACTGCTGCTGGTATCCCCAAGGTGGCCCCAAGGTGGCGTGTTGTCTCCTCTCCTTTTTGCAATTTTCAGTAACTCTATAAGTCTCTATAAGTCTATTTATCCTCTTCCTACCACTTGTATGCTGATGATCTCCAAATCTATACTCAGTCCTCTCTTGAAGATCTATCTAAAGCAGTTGACACTATTAACGCTGATCTGAATTGTATTTCGAATTGGAGTAAATGTTATGGTTTAACGATTAATCCTAAGAAAACGGTCAGTCAGGTCATTGTCATCGGTAGTTCTATATTAATTGGTAAAATTGACTGGTCTTCCCTACACCCTATTATACTAGACTGCACTCTAATCCCTTACAGTAACAAGGTTAAAAACCTGGGGTTGTATCTTGACTGCTGTATGTCTTGGACCTCACAGGTTAATGAGGTCATTAGAAAAATGTTTGCTGCATTAAGCTCTTTACGTAGATTACGTAATTTCCTTCCCACAGCAACTAAAGTTACACTCGTCCAGTCTCTACTTCTGCCTATCCTTGACTACGCTGATATTTGCTATCTTGACATTACCGAGGAGCAGCTTAATAAGCTAGAGCGCATTCAAAATGTATGCATTAGTTTCATATTTGGGCTTCGCAAATATGATCATATCTCCGAATTTCGCAAACAGCTCAAATGGCTCCCGATCCACCTTCGCAGGAATACTCACATTCTCTTCGCGTTGTATAGTGTGCTGTTTAACCCTTCTACTCCTCTTTATTTAAAAAACCGTTTCCAGTATCTTTCTCTTACCATAATCGGTTCCTTCGATCATCCGTCAATCTTTCTCTCTTTACACCTTTGCACTCTTCTTCCTTTTTCAAGAAATCCTTCACCGTAACCGCTGTGCGATTGTGGAACTCCTTACCTCTCCATATTCGTCGCGCTAAATCTCTTCACTCTTTCAAAATTCTTGTTAAATCGTATTATTTAGAACGCTATTAGATAAATTACTTTACCTTTCTCGTACTCTTATCATTTAATCTATTATATGATATTTTATATATAACTTTCACTTACTTTTATTTGTATGTATTATTGTAATTTTTTTATTATTATTTCGTATGTCCCCTCTATTTGTAACTTTTGTTTGCATCATTCCTCTAAGGAAAGGTTGTCACGAAGAAATCACTTTCAGTGATAAGACCGCCTATTGTACATACTTTAATTAGTTTTAACTATATTGATATTTATGTATTGTGGTGTACAAAAAAGAATAAATAAATAGCAGATGTCACTAAAGCCATGATCGATAGCTACCATGAATCATGTCCAGTAATCACTCCACCAAAACTAATGTGGGGTAAAGAACTAGACAGGAAACGTAGGAAGGTAAGAAAAGCCCTAAATAGGGCAATGAATACCTCAAAGGATGAAGACTGGCTTCTATATAAGAAAGCTAAGGCTGAATACAAAAAATGTATCATGTATCGACGCTCAACAGGGTGGCGCAAATTCTGTGGTAGCACAGAAACCTGTGAACAAGCAAATCAAATAAGAAAAATCGTAGCTAAACAGAACACGCCGGGATCTATCTCTTTAAAGAAACCCGACGGAAGCTACTCAACATCGCTGGATGAAACCCAACGCATCCTAATTGATACTCACTTCCCAGGTTGCTGTGTAGTTGAAAGGGTGAACCGGCATGAAGATGCATTGACACCAACAAAAGAAGACTGGGAATTAGTATAAAGAGTGTTGACGATTTACAAAATCCATTGGGCCATTCATAGTTTCCAACCCTATAAGGCAGCAGGACCTGACGGCTTATTCCCGGCACTTCTACAGTGGGGGGGGGGGGGGGGTAAAGTCCTAATAGTCAGACTTGTTGCCATAACTATAAGGAGTTGAGAGGGTCGGCGCTAATTAATTTACCGCTACACGAAAAACAACACGCCTATAGCTTAGGTAAATCAACAGAATCGGCACTTCACCAGGTAATAACAAAGACTGAAGAGGCCATCAAAAACAAAGCAATATGTCTAGGCTCCTTCATAGACATAGAAGGTGCTTTTGACAGAACAAATTTCTCCAGCATAAAGGGTGCCCTAAGTAGACATAATGTTGAACTGGCACTGATTGATTGGATAGTAAACATGCTCAGTACACGAACAATAAAGATTGCTGGTGAATCTCAGACAATTCAGATCATGGAAGGATGCCCACAGGGTGGGGTTCTTTCACCTCTCCTTTGGAATATGGTCATTAATGAACTCATCAGCAAATTAAACGCTAGCCATTTCTACACAGTTGGTTATGCAGATGATCTGACAATACTGGTCTCTGGTAAGACAGCAAGCATTGTGAGCGACCTGACCCAAGCGGCTCTCCGTATTGTGGAGAGATGGTGCAGGTAATATGACCTAACCGTTAATCCAAATAAAACGGTTAGAGTAATGTTAACACAAAAACGAATGCTTAATAACTATCATCTTCCAAGTCTTTTCAGCACAAAAGTCCAACTTTCTTTCGAGGTAAAATACCTAGGTCTTACCTTGGACAGTAAACTTAACTGGAACAAACACATAGAAAACAAAATCAGTAAAGGTAAGTTAACTTTCTGGCAATGCAGAAACATGATTGGCAAACGATGGGGTTTAACGCCAAAAATTATAATGTGGCTGTACAAAACTGCAATTCGGCCCATGATCACATACGGCTCTCTGGTATGGTGGACCAAAACCAATAGAATTATACGTGGTAGAGCCATGCTGCAGTTATATTAGTAGTATAGTTGTAGCACGAATGGGTCGGCTCGACCGGGGAAGGACCACGCTCTCACAGAATACCAGCGTGAAATAGTAGCTTAATGCTGCTGTATTTCGTATGGTGAGTGTAGAGAACCGGTGA